TCCTGTGCCTTCCAGGACAACCCGTCTACTTGTTGCCCTTCCAGAAGACTACAAACTGTGCATTAGTGACATGGTGTGTCTTCACCTTTGTCTTGAGGCCAAGGCTGAACTGCACTGGGGTAGAGGTCCCTGTGTCTGTCTCCTGCAAAAGCAGGAGCTGGAAGCAAAAGCAAGAGAATCCCTTCCCAAAGCCAGTAAATGTTCAGCTCTTGAGGATAGGATGCATTTTCAAGTAATTTGTGCCGGTTTTCAGATGACCAGATCAATAGGCAAAGCTCTTGCAATCAGTATTTGTTCCTGGAGAGAGTGAACATCCAAACCCTTGTCCTTTGCTTTCTGTGGTCTGTGTGGCTTTTGAAGACCTTACTTTTTCTTCTAGGCACGGAAGAATGAACTGGCCATTGAAGACATGGATGGTGGCACTTTCACAATCAGCAATGGAGGGGTTTTTGGGTCACTCTTTGGGACACCTATCATTAACCCACCTCAGTCTGCCATCTTAGGCATGCATGCCATCTTTGACAGGCCTGTGGCTGTGGGAGGCAAGGTAGGTGGTCCTGTAAAGGATGCTTTCAGCAGCATGAGGACCATATTCCATATGCTTTTTCTAAGGGATTGGTGTCAGCTTCTAAAAGGCTTTACTGTGAAGGAGGAGCAGAGACTAATGGGTGTAGAGCAACTTCACTGGCCCTGGTATTTGCCTCAGGGGAGCAGGAGGCCTTGTCCTATCCCTGAGGGGGAAAACTGGGCATAATCTGTTTAGGTGTGGGGAGGAGGAGGAGGTTGTAGCCTTTGTCGTAGGGAACAGCTCCAGAAAGGGACCAAGTGTTTTGTGTGGGACCAAGTGTTTTGTGTGGTGTGGACCCAGCCTGAGCAGCTGACTGGGTAGGTAGTCCTGCCAGGCAGGACGCATCCAGGAGCGCCAGGGTGGGACAAAGCCTGGTCTTCCCTGAATTCACAGGAGTGGATGATGCAGCAGTAGGGTTGCACTCACTAATCCCTGTCTTCTTCCTCCGCTTCAGATCGAGGTGCGGCCCATGATGTACGTGGCGCTGACGTACGATCACCGGCTGATTGACGGCAGAGAGGCAGTGACTTTCCTGCGCAAGATCAAGGCAGCGGTGGAGGATCCCCGCGTGCTGCTGCTCGACCTGTAGAGCAGCCACACCCCCACACAACCCACCCAGGACAGGGCCGCAGCACCAGCAGGGACAATGCAGGGCATTTAGGAACTGGCAGGGGTCATTCCAGTCTCCTTTCCTCCGCTGTGATCAGAGCTGTCCCAGAGGGAATTACAGGGATAGCTCCTACCTCCTTTCCTATTCTGTTAAATGAAGGTTCAGTATCTCACAAGAGCTGCCATGCAGTGGGCCAACCACTGAATGGCACTGCCTTTCCAAAGCCATCTGTGCGGCATCCTCTCCCTCACGGCACCAAACTCCCACCTCTAGCTTGTCCTGTACCACTGGAAACTGCTTGCTGCTGCTGTGCTAGGGTACCCTTCCCCACCCCTCCATGGGCGGGTTCAGCTTTATTTCCTAGCACTGAGGTTCCTGGGAGGGAGAGGAGAGGTAAGGCTACTGTCCTGTTCATGTTTTGCTTGAAAATATTTCACACTCATCTGCCTTGCAAGGGCAGTTTGGGGGACCCCCAGGCTGCTTGCAACAGAGGTTTTTATCAGAGCAGGCCTTGAGGTAGGTGTCATGCTTCTGGCAGTGCCCTAGTTACACTCCCTCCACAGACAGTAACACAGCGGTGGCAGCTCCCCTACTTTCCCCTGGAGGTAGTTTGTCTCTCACCAGTCTGGTCACTGTGGCATGAATGTTCGTGTCTGGGTGGGCAGAGCCCGTGACCTCTGTGGAGGTAGCACTGTTCCTGGGGATAACCCTTTCACCATTACATGCCCAACACGGGGGTGAGAACCAGCCCCCAGCAACTCTCCTTGAATCACAGCTCACTGGTGTGGATCTGACTGCTGGCTTCCTGCGTGCGGGAGCTTGGCCTGCTCCAGCAGGCACACAGCTGGGGGGGCCAGGCCTTTCACTGTCATGTACATCCCAGCCCACGGGTGCTGGTTTTGGGGGGAGGGGGGCAGTTCTTAATCTGATAGCGCACACATGTATTGAGGGGTGAGGGGGTTGCTAGTGCCTGCAGAGTCTATTACTCTTACCCTCTACACAGAACTTGTAACTAAAATATTTAACATGGCGGATTTTAAATGAAATAAAACTGGGCAACGACTGCAAGGTGGGGTGTGTTTGAGGGGGTGAGGAGCAGCTCCTGGGCAAGGACTGAGGGCATCACAGCATCCCTAGTGTGTAGTGGTGGTGAGAGAAAAGAATAAATGGAGTGGGAGCTGGGCCCATCACTGGTGGTACTTATTTGAGGCTTCTCTGGCTGTGTACTCTACTGTCCTCAAACCATTTGGCAAAGAATTGACTCTTCCCAGCAAAGATGAGGTTTTCAGGGCTGGAAATCATCCTTTTCTTGGTCTAGCAACAGAACTGTTACAGATGGTGAGGAATTCAGTGTGTTTAGTTCTGAAGGGCATGATGGCCACGAGGGAGTCCTGGGACAGACTAAAAGTACAAGTGTGGAGCTAGGTTGGGTTTTCCCTGCTACAGCAGGGGAGAATTGTAAATCACACAAGTGGGGAAAAGGCTGTTGGGAGTTGGAATTGCAGAGGGAGAAAGGGGACAAGATGAAAGAACTGTAAAGCATAAGCTGTTTGTTGTGTTGAGTGTTTTCCCTAAGGAGCTGTCCTTGTTGGAACAATATGAAATCATTCCTGGATCATGGCAGGGTTTTCCCAGCTCTGGTATCAACTTCAGAGAATAGTTTGCCTTTCCCAGTTATGGAGGAAGAGGGCAGCCCCTTCTGACAGAAAATGATTGCACTCACAGCTGACACACTGACGAAAGGGAGATCAGTTCCTAGTATTGGGGCCTGTGTCTTCCTGGCAGCTAGGGACAAACCAGTGTGTGGAGTCAGTTTTCTTCTGCCTGGCTCTGGTTGAGGTAGAACGTTGGGAAGAGAGGAAAAAACCCTTCCCTGTTCTGTAAAGGAAGGATAGGGTCTAGGTGTTCTTGCACAAATAAGTTGGCTGAGAGAGAAGGTTCTGATTTAAAAATGCTACCAGTACCCAGCCCTTCCGTGCTGGTTTAGGAGACAGAGGGCCCACCTTGACTTTGTAAATGAGCCTGGGGATGGGCAATGCCTGTATTTTGTCTGGAGCTGCAATAAATGAGGCCTTTGAACTACCCAGGGAGTGAATGTATGGTCAAGCTCTTAAAATGATGCAGCCTAGCAAACTGCTTTATTTCATCTGCCCTTGTAAGGGGCTTGCTGTAGGAGGCTCATGCTTGAAGCTTCCTTTTCTTTTGACCTTCCTGAGTCACAGCCATAGCACTGAGTTGCCAGAAGCCATGCTGTGGCTTTGACCACAGGGTCCTTCCTGAACCTCCCCTAAATCATAGGACTGGGAGGCAGGTAGCCAAGGCTGTGAACTGGAGGGTTCGTCCAGTGCAGGAGCTCAGCTGCTTCTGCTCTCTGCCCTGCTGTGGCATTAGCTGTCAGCTCCCTGCCTAGTCCTCCCATTTCTGCACAGCCTTTCAGGTGTCCCTACCTTTTCTGGCGCGGGAGATGTTTATCCTGGGCTCTGCTTCCCTCTGCTGGAAAAGTGCTCCGGCTGCTGCCTGAGAGCCAGGTGGCAAAAAGGAGCTGGGACCTACTAGCCACAGAGAAGTTTCACTGCTGCCAGGAGTTCCTTACTATAGGGGATAAGGTACAGTGTGAGTGGGTGCTGGGAGAGGAGGGCCAGAACTGCACCGCTGCCCTTGCTTGCTAATCCTTCGGCCTGTGGCTTTGACTCATGCAACTGAGCATAGCAGCCTCTGCTTTGGGCTGGTAGCAGACACATTTGTTCATGTTTCTTTTTTCTTCCATCCTGGATATATGTACACTTGGCCTCCTGTGCTGGTTTCGGCTCTCAGAGTTCACCCCTTTAAGCCCTCACTGTCTGGTCTACCAGGGATGACTGTGCTCAGAGCGTGGCGCTTGGGGCGGTTGGGCTGCTGTCCTGCCAGCAGGAAGGGGCAGCCCAGGCACGGGAGGCTGGAGTCACCACAGGTACCGACGACAAAAGTCACGGCTGGAAGAAAACACAGGCACTCTGCACACTTCTCCCAAATGTGAGCTGCAGCGACATGGCTGTGCCAATGTGAGAGGCTGCGAGGCAGGCAGGGGCACAGTGAGAGCCAGGCAGGCCCTCTGTGCTACCTTCTGAAGTTCGGCTGTAGGGCGCTGATGGCCAGGGGACCACACCAACCAGGGCTCCCAGGCAGGTTTGAGCACAGAGCTGGGGCTCCCCCTTGCTCAGCATGCTTGGCCTAGGCCTGGCTGGCGGAGCTCAGAAACAAAAGGACACTTGGTATGCGATAATGAGTGGTTTATTTTTTCCCAGAGAGTGGGGAGAGCAGAGGGCTCCCTGGCAGCTTGCCTCTGCAGCAGGCATTACCCACACACACATGCAGTCAGGGATGGGCAGAGACCCCGGGCTCGGGCTCCAGCCAGCAGGGCCCAGAGGGGTTGCATTTGAAAACCACAAAAAAAGTAAGAGAGTCAGGGATGGAGGTCAGTGTGGTAGCAGCAGAGATAAAAAACACAGGGAAGGAGTTCCAGGGTGTGGTGCTAAGCTGAGCAAAGGATGCCCCAGAAGCTGAACTTGGCCTCTCCCTGGTGGTGGGCACCTGGGCTCCCTTTCCCACCAGGGAGGACCTGGAGGAGAAGACAGCCTGGTCCAGCCTGCAGCCTCCTCGTTGGAGATGCCAACAAACACAAGCAGACACAGAAGGACATGTAAGGCTGCAAAACCTCATGTGCACCCCACCCTGGGGCAGCCCTTGCAGCAAACCTTCCCCAGCAGCCAGAGCTGCCCATGCCACCTGGGTCACAAGTGCCAGGGACAGCAGTGCAGTGCCCAGCTCCCCAAAGAAGGACACCTAGCCCACCAGCTGGTTCCATGGGACAGTGCTGAAGAAGGAGTGGGACTTCAGCTTCGCCATGCCACCTCTTCCAGAGCCCAAGCGCTGCTTTGGATTGTACTGCAGGAGCTGCAGAGACACAGGATGGGACAGCAGGATGGGCACACTGGAAAAGCTAGCCAGGCTGAATGCTGCCTCTCCCCAGCCTCTAGCCCGGCCCTCTCCCATCCACTTAAGCCCCTCACCTCAGTGAGCAGTGATGTAGCAGCCAGGCTGAGCCCCTCTGGCAGATGCAGCTGAGTGTGAGGCTGAATCCCTGATGGATGATTTTGGAACAGTGGCTGCAGGAGGCAGAGGGTGATGGTGAGCAGAGGCATTGAGGAGGGTAGGAGCACCCAGCTGAGCTTTCACTGCCACATAACCCCAACCCTACATGGCAAGACTTAAACCCCAGGGCCCTTGACAACCAGAGACCATGTACAGGCACTAGGAATCACATGCCTGAAGCAACCTGGCACAGCGTTGAGGTGCCAACAGGGCAAGGCACCATCCCAGCCCCTGCACAGCAAGGAGCACTACAAGCATCACCTCCACCTCCCCCTCCCTCACCCTCCTTTCACAGCTCTTCAGCCTCTTACCACTCCTGTGAGCAACTCATACAAGAGAGAGCCAAAGCTCCAGCAGTCAGCTGCTTCGGTTGGCTCCACAATCCCCCCCACTTCTGCAGAAAGAGCCAGAGAAGGGTTAGAGCTGGAGGCAGGGAGCACCAGCAGGTGTATTGTGCTGGGCACACCTCTCTGCCTGCAGAAGTCCCCTTACCCGCAGTGGCACTGTGCAGGGGGCTGGAAAAGGCAGGGGACATATCCCTTACCTGGAGCACTGTACAGCTCTTCCCGTGCCTGGCTGCAGTACTGGGGCTCCACCTCTGTCCACTGGCCAAAGAAGGTGAGACGGACATGACCTACAGAGCAGCACCAGAACCAAAATCAGGGAGGTTAGGACAAGACTAGGGATTTTGTTGGAGCACAAAGCCAAGCCATATCCCCGCAGCTGGGAACGGCCAGGGAACTGGGCCCATCATGCTCATAACACAGAGGCACTGTGCACCCCATGGTGCCATGCATCCCCAGTCTCTCTCAGTGCTTGCCCACGATGCCCAGCAGGCACTCAGAGCTGGTGAGACTGGTTAAGTGGGCTCCAAGATCACAGACCTCAGTGCAGGCTCTGGTGAGCAAAGAAGCAGTTTTTATAGAGCAGAGGGAAGGTTAGCTTTCCCCTTGCAAAGCTCTGCATTTTTCTTTTCCTAAGCAGTTTGTAGCTCTCCAGTTTGTCCCAGATGTTCCCAGCTGAGCAGGGACTTGCACTCAACCTGCACTGACAGCAGTACCCATGGCTCAAAGGGATGGCTCCAGAACACCTTAGCAGGCAGTAACTACAAGCAAGAGAATACTGCAGTCCCACTAACCTCAGGCACAGTTCAGCTGGTCTCAGCTTCCCCATGCTGGGATTTCCCAGGCAGCCAGCCCCCACATGAGAGCAGGAGCAATACATTCCTGTGGTTATGGCCCTTGACTCTCCTGCTGCAGAGCAAACTCTTACAATAACCACTTGGAAAACCCAGTTGAGATCACACTTTCAACCTCAGAAACATTCAGACCTCCCCAGACTCTCAGCCTCCTCCACAGCAAACTCAAGAAAAGTCCATGTCTCCTGAAAATGGGGCAAACAGCAGTCTCCCAGCTGAGAGGCCAACCTCCTTCTGCTCTGGGCAGCAGCATGGGGCACTACCTACCAGCTGCATCAAGCAGCAGGTTCCTGGGATTCAGGTCCCGACACAATACACCCTGTTGGTGAAGGCCCTCTAAGGCCAGGAGGATTTCTGCTGCCCACAGCTGCACCTGCTCCTCCTTCACAGCCCATGCTCTCCGGTTGTGCCTGTAGGAAGCCAAAGCCCTGCATTGTCCTGGTGGTGGCTGCTTGCTGAGCCAGCCACAGGTCAGGCTTGCTCGCTGTGAGGGCTCCCACACCGCTGGGTCAGGCCCACAGGACCTGCCAGAGCTGGACAGGGCAACTCCTGCAGGAAGCTGCCTCTGACCCAAGGTCAGGAGGGGCTGAGCCAGGGGGACCTCAGAGACTTTCTGAGATGGCAGTTCTCCTGCCCCTGGCTGGCTCCCTCTTGCAGTCTTCGGTACGGGGGCAAGCGCCTGGGGAAGCCTGGGGTCTTGCTGGCAGGCTGCTGTCTCCGATATGCAGCGTGTGCTGCTGGTTAGATCACCCCAGGGGTAGACAACCAGGCCCTGGCTCACAAGGTGGCCACGGCATTTGGCTAATGCTGCTGGAAAATGCTCCGCAGTGCCAGACACGGTCTCTGTCGTGCTTAGATCCTGTCTTCCAGGTGCTGCCCTCGGGCCATCCGCAGGAGCCAGGGGAAGCTGGTGGTGGTTCCCTGAGCCAGGGTCTGTGGGGCCAGGCGACTGCTGAGGGAGTGAGGCATCAGTGCTTCCCAATACTCGGTGTGCTGCAGAGCCTGGGAGGCCACCGCCTATCTGAGCAGAGAAGACAGATACTTGGCTGCCACCCTGGGAGCTTTCCACACCATCTTCTCTGACGTGGTCTCTCTGGGCTTGAACGGTGTTTGAATCTGCAGAATCCTGCTGGACACAGTACTTGGAGCGGAGGTGAGACCACAGTGTCTCCCCTGCAAAGCAGAAAGAACAAGTGATGAGGCAAAAAGCATCCCTGGTTCCTCCACTGTGAACTTGGCACATCCAGGCACAGGCCAAGGCCCACATACTGGGGACATGATTGAGCATCATTAACCTCCCCTGCAGCACAGCTGAAGTCCATGCAGAATACACCCCAGCTCTACAAGCACACCATGCTCAAGACCACACCTCCCCCCAGGACCTAGCACACCAAAGTCTCATTCCCCCCTCCTTTAGCAGCCCTGCTCCTCATTCTGCAGAGTCTTCTTGATCCCAGTTCTGCCACTTCCACATCACGGAAAAACCACATCTTCACAGATGTCTCTGATTCTACTGCCATCCCCACTTTCTCCTGAAAGCCTTTCCTTCCTGTGTTATAGAGATGCCAGAGAACTTCCACAGCATAGCACAGAGCCCATAGGTCAGCACAAAGCCAGAGCAGTGAGCCCTGGAGCCCACAGCATGCTGCCAGGGCTTCCCATCCTCACTGCATCCAGTGCTGGCTGCTTTCTGCAAATTCATCCTACAGCAACGCACAAGGAGTTGAGGCTGTTCTCCAAGACACATCAGCCTCCACTTGTCATTGCTGAACTCCAGCTGCTGCTCCCTACACATCCACTCAGCCAGCAAAGCCTCCACCTTATCACACTTCTTCACTAGGATCTGGGACAAGTGTCAAATATGCCTCCTTGTATCCAAACCCCAATGTGCTCCCTGCCTTTATGCCCCAATTTTCCATCTCCTCTCTTAGCTGTTATCTCAAAATCCAACATGACCTCTTTTGTAACAAAACAAAAAAAAAAGTGTTTTATAAAGGTCATGTCAAAAGATTGTTTTGTTCTACAACATCCAGGTGAACTACCTCACTTTGTTCTCCTTCTCCATCACCTTCCTGTCATGGTCAGACAATGCTAGTAAAATGAAGAGGTTTTTCTTTCAAGATGCTGGATCACATCAACTTCTTTACTTAAAGGCATTCCCTCCCATGAGACCCAGTGGTCCTATCCCAGAGGCTAATTTCTATACCACACACACAACCTGTAGATCTCCACAGGCCCATTCCTAGGTTACATCCCCCACTCAGCTCTTATCAAGCCTCCAAAATTCTCAATACAGTGGAGCAGCTCTGTTCACAGAGACTCCAAGCCCTGGTACCCACCACCCTCCTATGAAGAAGACAGCTTGCACTGTCACTCTAAAACACAGTCCCAACACAGTATAAGAAAAACATTTGGGATTTTAAAGAAAGGGAAGTTAGGGATAAACAAGGATGGTTCACAGACAGGAGGCAAGGCTGTCCCCACTCACCCTGCACATGCTCCAGGTGGAGGAAGATTGAGTCCTCACTCACATAGTAGCACAACAGTTTGACCATGAAGGGGACCCCATGAGGGATGATGGTCTGTCGCTCGCGGGTCTCAACATGGGATTTGGGAAGGCTCTGAGGAGGTACAGGTAGATGGGTGTTACAGCATAGTAAGAACTTGGACTCTGTGCAGCCTAGCACCTGGCATGGCTGGAGGCCAGCCAGAAGGTAGTGTGCCATCTTCCAAGCCCTATGGCTGCTCCCCTGTATCACCTGTGAGGGAGCTCCCCACCTGTGGAAAACTGCAGCTCATGCAGAGGGGTCTGTCAGTCCCCAGCATCCAGCTGGGATAAAGCAGTGGCCTGCAAAGCTCTGCCAAGGCAGAGCTCTGGCCCAGAGCAGCAATCTCCCCTGCAACCACCTCTGCTCCCTTCAGATGGCAATCTTCCATGCCAGCTCTTTCTCCTCTTCCTCGGGAACTGATGCTTCTCCCTGTCATGCCAGATCCTCCTCGTCCAATTACTCAAGTCCTTTACTGTTAGTTCCAAGGGCACTGGAAAATACTCTACTAATGTTGCACTGAGCACACCCCACGCACAACCTGTTTCAAGGACTGACCCAGATTAACAGAGGCGTAAATTTTGGCTTGCAGCATTACCAGGCAGAGAAACAGATGACCAAGGAGAACCACTTCCCTCCTGATCCCAAAGATGGCTGAGGCAGCCAAAAAAAAGCTTTTTGAATCACAAACTTCCTCCAACACCTATGAGAGCTGCTATTTTTGGTCCCCCCACATGCCCCAGCTGTCTGCTTGGACAAGGAGGCCCTAACATGACAGGAAAAAGCCAGCAGATGAAACTGGAAACACCCACCTTAAGTATAAAGGTCCCACCAGTGTCTGGATCCTGGACGATCTGCACCTGGGAGCAGCATACACAATACAGTCAAAAACTGACAGTTCCACCCCAACACACAGCCTACAGGAATGACCCAAGGAACTTGGTTCTGGAACTGAAACAAACTCCCACCCAGCTAGAGGAGTTTGGTGGGAACCCTACTCTTGAAGGACAAAACACAGGTTATTAGCAAGGAGATAGCCATGCAGCCAGGAAGGAGAAATGTAATTAAACCAAGAGGTGACTCCCACACCATTTGTGCTTCCTTCACACTGAAGGGTGTTGCAGTGCTGCTTCTGGGCTCCGCAGGGCAGGAGGACCACATCAGTCCTGACAAACTGAGATGCGTAAACAGCAGCAGAGAGCAATGTGCAGTGAGTGTATAGGGACAGTAAGTCTGGCATCTTCACTCCAAGATCATGAGCTACTAATTAGTTTATTCATCCAGACAGCTCATCTTCTGCTGAAGTCTAGATTATCCATAGGAGTCCACCATCACGGCACCTAGGCATCAAGCACGATTCCATGTGTGGGAAAGAACTGGATACATCAACCTCCTCATAAATACCTTGGGAGCTCTAGTAAGCAAAAGTAATGGGGACATTAACAGACTTCCCAATAAACTCCTAAAGGGTCTTGAATCCTCTCCTGTGAATTTTTCTCAGTGAGAAAGGTGTGGATGGATACACTCACATTCCTTGGTGGGCATGCTGGGGGCTGGAACCCCCTTCCCAGCTGCTAGGACCCTCCAGCTTACACTTCCTTTGGTCCAGCCCCAGTCTCACCCCACCATTTCCAGGTCAAGTCATTACCTTATCGATTGAGTCATTACCTTATCAATCACTCCCACAACCTTACACCGTCTCAGGTTCTCCACTGCTGAGCTCAGTGTCCTGATGGGCCGGAAGCGCAGGCTGCTGTAGCCCTGCAAGGCAGTGAGAGAAGAGGATGAAGGACCTAGAGCTTCCACTGTCCATGACAGTGGGTAGGAGAAATCTCTGCATTTCCAGAGCAGGCAGCAATACCGCCCAGCTGGTCAACATCCAGAGATAATACCCCAATGGCTATGATACATTCCTAACATCAGCTGGCCTGTTTTCTTGGCCAGACCCTGGATTTCTGAACTTTACAGGAGAAGTTTGCACATACGGCAGAGGTAAAATCACTCCAAAATTTGTAGCTAGACATGAGGTTCTTCCAACAGTACAGGGATCTGTATGGAAGGCAGTTGTCTTTCTCCCATCATCCTTCTCACCAGGCCCCAACCCTGGCCTGCCTCACTCCCTTCTCCTTTCTTTAACCACCTCCTTCCCACAATGCAGCAAGCAGCCACTGTCTTTGGTTTCCATACAGGTGGGAACAATAACAGGGGAGATGACAATTTTAACATTTCATAAGGTATTTCCCTGAAGTGGCTTCACCCTAACAGAAAATGGCCATATTCTCTACAGGGGCAAGCTAAGCATACACACTCTGGTGGAGGGGGTTCTGGGAGCATCCTAGGCAAGCTGAGCCCACCTCAGCTGCTTGATCCAGGCAGGGCAAAGGGCTGCCAACTCCCTTGCAGCCACTGGCACACCAGGACACGCTACGGCTTGATGTGTCTGCCATTGTCTCTACACCACCTTACCATGGCATCTGGCAGAGGTGGCTGCAGCAGCTCACTAGGGCTGCTTTATATGTGTGTCCCTGGTGTCCCAATGACACAGACCCACTGCCATCCCCCCCACACCACCCCACCACCAGCCTCTCACCGTGGCCGTGGTGCTGCCACCCCCTGCAGCCCACTGCAGGTGGCAGTTGAATATTTCTTCTGCTCGCCTCAGGTACTGTGTGATCTTCCTCTTCACAGCCT